TTTTTTTCTTTGTTTTCCTTCTTTCTTTCTTTCTTTTTTTTTAATAACCCTCTTGAACACTGTAAAGATTTGTCACTGGAATTGGTTTAATAAAATGCTGATTGGTCAGTAGCCAGGCAGGGCAACCAAACTAAGGATGATAGGAAGGAGAAGGGCAGAGTCAGAGGTCACCAGCCAGATGCAGAGGGAGCAGGAGATGAATGTTCCATGCTTATAAAGGTACTGCCGGGGCTGGAGAGATGGCTCAGAGGTTAAGAGCACTGCTTGTTCTTCCAAAGGTCCTGAGTTCAATTCCCAGCAACCACATGGAGGCTCACAACCATCTGTAATGAGATCTGGCGCCCTCTTCTGGCCTGCAGGGATACATGCAGGCAGAATACTGTATACATAATAAATAAATTTTAAAAAAAAAAAAAAAAATAAAGGTACTGCCATGGGGCAGAGCATAAATAAGGAATATGGGTTAACTTAAAATGTAAGAGCTAGTTAGTAACAAGTCTGAGCTATCGACCAAACATATATAAGTAATATTCAGCCTCTGTGTGATAATTTGGAAAATGGCTACCAGGTATTGGGAACAGGCAGTTGGAGCAGGAAATGTCCATTTACAGTCTTGCAAAGAAAGAGTGACCACCAAGCTCTTACCAAGTAGCTCCTGGGATAACGGAACAGCTTGTTTGCCATAGGGCATCATCTGGACTGTTAGGTGACTCCCCAGCCCATTTTGGCAGAAAACACCTCAAAAGTGCTGGGGTGAGAGCAAGGATCTGAGGCAGACTTTATCTCCTCTCCTTGGCTCTGCCTGAAGCCACAAGTCAGGTGCCACTAAGACCCTGGCCTGGGCGCTCACAGCCTAGTTCTGCCAGGGAGGCAACCTCATTATGGGAAACTTGTACCCAAGTCTGGATTATCAGGGACCTTTAGGGGCCCCATGACCACTGGTAAGGCTAGAAAGGGGCCCTGGAAGCCAAGTCAAGCTAACTATAAATTTTAAATTTATTTTCTCCTTCTTCTTCTTTTTGCTCTATAGACCAGGCTAGGCTCAAACTCAGAGATCCATCTGCCTCTGCCTCTGCCTCTGCCTCCCACGTGCTGGGATTAAAGGCTTGAGTCACCATGCCTGGCTCAAGTTTGGTTTTGTTTGTTTGTTTTGTTTTTGTTTTTTGTTTTGTTTTGTTTTTCGAGACAGGATTTCTCTGTGTAGTTTTGGTGCCTGTCCTGGATCTCACTCTGTAGATCAGGCTGGCCTTGAACTCACAGAGATCCACCTGGCTCTGCCTCTCAAGTGCTGGGATAAAAGGTGTGTGCCACTGCTGCCTCCTGGCCTGGCTCAAGTTTTTAAACCCAAGAATTTGGAAGACATGTAATTCTTTGCACCTCCTTACACTCAAGGAGAGTAACCAACTGCTGCCCACTACGCTGTTAAGAAATGCTTGTCTTAAATACTGCCTGCCTGGGGTGTCTATTGTTTAACCCTCCTAATAATCCTTTCCTAAAGTCCTCTGCAGCAGCCACAAGCAGACCCACCTCACAGATGAAGAAATTGAGACTTTAGGTCACATAGATTGAAACCTAGTACTGCCATCCCTTGGTTATCCACAGAGGATTGGCTTTAGGGCAACACCATCCCAATGATATTAAAATCGGAGGACACTCAACTCTCTTATAGAGAGTGGCATTGTGATGGTTTGAATCTCAAGTGTCCCCCACAGGCTCACATTTGAAAACTTGGTCCCCAGTCCTATACTGGTACCTTTAGGAGGCGGGGCCTGCCTGGGACAGTCTTTGACAGTTATGCCTGAGCCCTGCTTCTTGTCCCACATTCTCTCTGCTTTTTGATCCACCGTAGTGTGAGGAGTCTCTCACGGTCCCACAGCCTCCCCTACCATGATAGGCTAAAACCCTCTGGAAGCATGAGCCCTTCTTATGTTTCTGTCTGGTGCTGTGGTCACACCAATGCAGAAGCAACTAGTCCAGGTATGACAGGATCATGCAGTCTGCACATCCACACACTTTCCATCGTGTGATTACTGATCACACAGAATACAAAAAAGAGTGTCCATTCCTTGATGCAGAAGCAGGCTCCCTGTGGCCTTTCCCAGACTTTTGGAACACCAGAAACCCATGTTCTCCAGCCCAGAGGCCAGGGAGGGACAGACCTGGCTTGTTGACAGCTGTATCCAGAGGTTTCTAGAAGTCACTGGAGGTCGGAGATCCTAGGCTGCAAGTGGGGGAGGTGAATGCTCTGATTCCCATACACATTTTCATTAGCTGTTATCAATCACAATGGTGGTGTGTTAGAATGGGACAGGGCAAGAGCTCAGGCCACTGTGAAAGGTCAGCCTTTACACAGGGACCCAGGCAGCCCAGCCATGAGCAGATCCGAAGCTCCTCTGAAGTGTTAGACAGTCCTCAAGCCCAGCAATGCCATCCTGTGGGCATCCTTCTCTATCACACCTGGATGCCATTCCAGGTGATCCTGAGATTGCCACCAATTGTACCAATCTGGAGGACCTGAGGTTAGCAGAATTCTAGAGGTTGGCTTATTTGTTGTTTTTGTTAGGTTTGAGACAGGATCTCATTATGTGGCCCTGGCTAGCCAGGATTCTGTGTAGCTCAGGCTGGCCTTGAACTCAGAGATCCACCTATCTCTGCCTCCCAAGTGCTGGGATAAAGGCGTGCGCCACATCACCATGCCTGGCTGGAGGATTCTTTCTTATGACCCTTTTCTTCTCAATCTGTCCTTTTGTTTTCCTCTATTCCATCAGAGTGTGAAGCCATTACTCTTGACTTCATTACACTTCATTACACACTCCTGTCTCCCATGGTACATTAAGACCAAGCTTCCAGAAGCAATTATCTCAGATTTGGGCACTGGTGGATCTCAGTAGCACCTCCAAGGTTCCAAATGCTTTTACCCACTGAGCCACCTCGTCGGCCCGTCGAGATTATTTATATCTACGGTCATCAGCCTCATGTTTTCCTTTCTGTGCAGCAGTTACCTGCAGTCCGCTGCAATCTGAGAACTAAGTGGAAAATTCCAGAAACAATCAGTTTGTAAGTTTTGAATAGCTCTTAACTACAGTATGTGCTTACAATTGTTCTAGCTTATTATTGTCCTTGTAGTTTGCTGCACAGGACTCTCCTAAGAGCCAGACTGCCACCATCCTCATGAGGTCAGCTGTGGCTGCTTACAGATCATCACAGCTGGCCTTTGTTGACAGCTTTTTTCACAGGACAGTGTCCAGCCACTCCTCTCAGCATGCGAGTCTGTTCTAAGTATACGAGTCCTCAGGGAAGGGCTAGAAATACCTAGGTCGGGCAGGAGTAGGGAGGGGCTTCATCCATACACCATGGGGAAGCCATCATCCATGCTGGGTGTGAGCTTTCCTGTGTGGCAACTTTAGGGTCGGTCAGCCATACTCTTGTTTGCAACTCCTCATACACGCTCTGTAAGTTGGCCTAAGGAGCTCATAGGCTCCCCAGGTTAAGTTGGCCCAAGGAGCTCATTGGCTCCCCAGGGAGAACCTCAGTGGAAACAAGCTTTGGTTTGTCACCAGGATCTTACGAAGTGAGTAGATGTTGTCTAGTGCCACTCCCCCCACCACCACCACCACCAGAGGGTGGCTTTCAGGACATAGTTGTTATAGGTAATCTTCCTTGTTCCTAATTTATAAATTAAACTTGATCACAGACGTGTATTGCCGGATAAGACACAGTACAGAGGGGCTGATGGCATCTGTACTTTGAGGCATCCTTCAGAGGAATTGCTCTGGCAGTCCTATATAATGTGATGCTCCCAGCTTGGTTCAAGGGCTTCACTTGGGTGGCTTTAGAGAGGACATGATGGGAGCATTTTCACCATGGAAGTGAATGACAGAGTCCTTCTATCCTAAAGAAGCCTGTGGTTAAACACTGACCAGCAGCATGTTGCTCTGGTCTTCCCACTAACCCAGGAGGAGGGAGGATGGCATGACTCTTCTTTCCAGATCTAAATTCTAAGGATCAGAGAAGGCAAGTGACCTAGCAGAGGTCTCACAGCATAAACAGTTATAAGATTCAGACACGCTCTTCTATCCATTTTCCTTACATTTTCATTTCATTTTTATGGCTAAAAGTCCATTATGTACTACATTTTTATTACCCATTCATCTGTTGGTGGGTGGTTCCATTTCCTAGCTATCGTGAATGGAGTGGCAATGAACATGGATGTGCAAGCGTCTCTGTCTGAGTACAGAGTTCTTTGGGCATAAGCCCAGGAGTGGTATGGCTGGGTCACATAATCATTCTATTTTTAGTTTTTTTGAGGAGCCTCCATACTGACTTCCATAATGGCTACACTAGTTTCTGTTTCATCCACAACAAATAAGGGTTTCTCTTCCTCCACATCTTCTCCAAGATTTCCCAACCACCTTTTTTTGTTTGGTTGGTTTTGTTTATGTTTTTGGAGAGAGAGTTCTCTGTGTAGTTTTGGTGCCTGTCCTGGATCTCGCTCTGTAGACCAGGCTGGCCTTGAACTCACAGAGATCCACCTGCCTCTGCCTCCCCCGTGCTAGGATTAAAGGTGTGCGCCACCACTGCCACCGGGCTTCCAACCACTTCTTACAAAGTCTAGAATACAGTCCAGATTCCCTGCCACCACTCTTGAGCGCGCACACACACACACACACACACATACCCGCTGCCGCCGCCACCGCCGCCCCAATCACCTGGACGATACCACACCACCTTTCAACACCAAACACCCTCCCATTTCTCCCCACCTAAACCTTCATTTCAAACTCTTCCTTCCTTCCCTCCTCCCTCCCTCCCTCCCTCCCTCCCTCCTCCCTCCCTCCCTCCCTCCCTTTCTTTAGGCTTGGGGACATTCCTGCCTTGTTCTCCCTACACCTCTTCCTGCAGAGCCAGGAAAGCAGCCCACCTCTCCCTCAGTTTACCTGCTCCAGAAGTGTCGCTCGTGTGGTTGCATCCCTACTTTTCCCCATGAAGAAAAGAAGACACCATTTTTTAAGGGTTTATTGGGCTAGCACTTGGTGTATGATTGTCCTGCCTCCCAACCAGGCCCCAGCAGCTCCTGCAGCAGGGATGGCTGGCCAGAGACTCTGCCCTGAGTGTCCCAAATGCGGCACCTCTGTGTTTTTTCCTAAGTCACTCAGCCACATTACCACAGTGACTTAGAGCAGCTGGACAGCCTGGTCCTTGGCTTGTCACGTGACCTTAGGAGCATCCCTTGCCCTCTCTGGGCTTTAGTGTCCTTCTCCTCCACGGGAGGGTTTAACTTTTCCTTCAGAAGATGGGCCCAGAGCCTGAGAGGTACTTCAGTGCTTAGGAACACTGGCTGCCCTTGCAGAGAAACCAGGTTCAGTTCTCAGCACCCACATGGTGCCTCACAACCATCCCTAATTCCAGTTTCAGGGGGTCCAATGACCTCTTTAAACCTCCAAGGGTGGTGCACAAACATACATACATGCAGGTAAAACACTGATACACATAAAATACTTAAAAAAATATTTCAAAAGACATGCCCAGCCAGCGTCCACTCCCACTCAGTACCAACCACTGCCGCTAATGCAGACAGGGTCGGGTCCCACCTCTGGGACTCAGTGAAGCCACCACTCCTCAAGGCCTTTGTCTCTAAGCATCCATGAGTTTGAACCCACTCGGGTGCCATGGACTCCAAACAGCCAAGCATCCACATTCTCTGGTGTGAGCGGGCCAGCCATGGGCAGCGCACAGGACAGGGTCAGGAGGAGCTGGGCTTCCCCACTGATGGGTACAGTTTACGCAGGCTGGAATCCAGGAGGAAGTCTACTGACCTACAAGGAGAGAAGGCAATGGTGAGCAGGCAGCCAAGAGTAAGGGAACGCACTGGGCTTCGGGAAAGACTCCCAGATATGGGGTACCAACAGCAACCAGGCTGGCACCCATTTTATCACTCTCCTCCCACTTGGGCTACTTAGGAAAGTCAAACTTGACCCCCAAGAATAACAACCATTTCCTTTTCTTTCTACAATTGGGGAAGCCGAGGCACAGTGGGTAAAGTGCTCACTGTGACACTCGGGGTCAGTTATGCCCCACCCCACCTCCAGGCCCCTCCTCATACTATACATTGGTCTACTATACATTGATTGATACCTACCTCTAGTTCTTTTTTTGTTTGTTTGTTTTTTGTTTTTGTTTTTCAAGACAGGGTTTCTCTGTGTAGCTTTGGAGCCTGTCCTGTTACTCGCTCTGTAAACCAGGCTGGCCTCGAACTCACAGAGATCCACCTGCCTCTGCCTCCCAAGTGCTGGGATTAAAGGCGTGCACATCACTGCCCAGCTTAAGATTTTTTTAAAATATATTTCTGTGTTTTTTATATATGTTTAAGTATTCTATTTGCATATAGGCCTGCATGCCAAAAGAGGGCATCAGACCCCATTACAGATGGTTGTGAGCCACCATGTGGTTGCTGAAACTCAGGACCTCTGGAGGAGCAGCCAGTGCTCTTAACCACTGAACCATCTCTCCAGCCCAGTCCTACCTCTAGTTCTAAGAGCAAGCACATGACCCAGGGTTGACTAAGCAGAAGGACAATGGCTCAGACACAGGTACCCTGCCTGAATGAACCAATGAAAATCTTCCTTGGGATTTTTGTTATCACGATGGAGAAGTTTTCATGGGGCTCAAGATGTTAGAAGAGACAGACGCTGTGAGTCACGGGGGCACGCAGCAGGAGAGTGAAGAAGGCCAATGAGGAGAAAAGCTTTAGGATGGGGAGACCCCTGCCAGCATCACTCGGATGCCTGGATCCAGCCATGCCTGAACACATCCCTCCCAAGACTTCGATTTTTCATTTACTTAACAAACAGAGTTTGACTCACACCACTATCACAGCCCTGAAGGCCACCATGCTGGGCACCGGCTCCTGACTGCCTCTGGCTGTTTCACAACCATCTTTCCTTTGTTCAGTGCCCTCGAGGCACTCTATTTCCTTTTCTGCCAAAGTATCTCTGCCACATCATATGACAAGGGTACAGACGCCCTCTCTACTTCAGCCCTGCCTCTGCTGCCATGGTTCTATGCCCACAGCTCTCAAAGCCCACTCTACCTGCAGAATGACCGGTGCCTGAGGCCAGAAGGGCACCTACCTGTCAATGGGGTGGACAATGACCGGGATGGCCAGGAGCCCAAGTGTGGTGGTGGTCCATTTGCGGACAGTCAGGGGCCAGCGGGTCATAGTACCCAGGACATAGAGAGAGGCAGCACACAGACGGTTGATAGTGAAGCCTGGGATGGCTACAGAGGCCAGAGACTGCCACACAAAGGTGTCTACCACAGCCAGGGCCACTCTGGTGCTGCGGCCTGCTTCAGGGCTTGGCACCTGGTAGGCACAAAGACATTTAACCCAGCTGGAGCAGAAGCAGGAAACCTGTAGACAGAAGCATGAGGGCCAACCAGGGAGGAAGGAGGACAGAGGGAGAGGGGGTAGCAGGGCAGAAGGAAGCTCGGAGGCGGACTCTGGGCTGTACTACATTCAGGGTTGGGGGTGACTTGCCTACATCCAGAAGTATGACTGTCACTTCCATCCCATGTGGGTTGGTGGGATGGAGGTGCACTATCCTACAAACAGGATTAGCTTATGGACTGCACGATGTAATACGGACAGGACTGTCCCACATGCAAGGCTGCACACTGGTCCACACCAGAATGGGGTTGGAAGGGTAGACTCACACTCACCTCTCCTGCCTTCTTGCCTTTGTCTATAGCATCAGCCAGGACGTAGGAGCTGGACACGCCATAGCTCAGCCACACCACCGCTGTAGGCACCAGGGAGCGGAAAGCCTCCCCCACCTCATTAGCATAGCCTGGAGGGAAAAGGTTTTAATTCTCTCGGGCCCGCGGGCTGTTCCACAAGGGGGCGCCACACAGAGAGCTGCTTCTAATCCTAGTCTCTTAAACTGCAGTGGGGCAGGTGACCTAAGTCAAGTGACTTTTGGTTTCTGGGCTGTGGACTGACGCCAACAATGAAGTTCATGGCTCATTGATCAGAGTCCCTAGCTGTGGTTCTGGGGATCTGCACCAATGAAGCAACGGGCGGCCAGCGAATGACTGACCGTAGTCTCCACCGACACTTAAGTGTCAAGGCCTTTCAGGCCTCAGTTCACCCTTACTATCAGCACCCGACAAGAGTGCCTCGTGTTCAACCCTTTTTGCCGAAGAGGAAACTGAGGCTCAGAAAGAGCCAGGGAATGGCAGGCTGTAGGAGTCCAGATCCTCTGACCCCGTGGCTAGTGCGCCCTCATGGCAGACAGCAAACCATGCACTTGGCTTGTGCCCCCAGCAGCCCCACCGACAGTGTTGTGTGACTTTGGACAAGTCCCTAGCCCTCTCCTGAGCCCAGTCTCCTGCCCAAGCCGAATAAGAACTAAACCCTTCCCTTCAGACTCCAGCTCCGCATCCGGTGACCAATGTTTCCCGGAGTGGTGGGGTCGCCGCGACTCTCACTCCCACGCTCACCCAGGTAGCGCACCCACGTGTCCCGGTAGAGGTCGCGCCCGGCGCCCTGCCGCTGCTGCTCCGACATGACTTCCCCAGCACGGTCCCAGGCACTGCACGGTAGAGCCTCGCTACCACCTCCGTCCCCACTAGCACTCGGCTAACACCAGTCAAGGACCCGCCAGAAGTCCGAGGCTGAAGGACAGGTCGGTCTATCGCCTCTGCAGGGAGTGTCTGAAAATTGCCTTGTACTCCCAAGCCCCTCTCCTAGGCTTGGATCTTGCAGACAGTCGTGTTTTCTCCCGAGCAGTTAATGCAAAACTCTCCCAGGCGTGATTAGTTTTTGGAGCGAAACAGGTCAGGGTTCCAATCTGAAGATGGTATCTTCTTAGGCGTGGGAGTTGTTGCAAAGGTGTATTTCTCTGAGCCCCACTTGGTGTATAAGTGGGAAGCATGCCAGTATTCACTACCTTAGACAGTCACAAGGACTAATTGTGACAGTCATCATGTATTCAGCCAACTCGGGTTTGCTTCTTAAGCTCTTGCACTAGCATCGGGTCCCATTTTACAGAGAGGAAATAGAGGCACAGAGAGGAAGGTCCCTCTCCTGACTCACACTGGGATATGAATCTAGACTAGGTGTTTTCGGATCCCATGCTCTGAAAGCGGATTCAGTAACTGAGGCAGGTAGAGTCAATGGTGAATGCTCTAGAGAGGTGGGGGCCAAGACCCTCAGTCCCTCCCCTGCAGTGCATGCTTATCGTTGATATGCTCTGAGCTAACTGGATCTTCCTGGGGGCCAGTCATCAAATGAATGACCAAATTAATGAGGCAAGGAGTCAAGGTTTGGCAAACAAAACTCCAGGGAAATGAGCAGAATAAAAAGGAGGGAGTTGGGGAAAAGCACTCTGGGATAGCAGAGAGGCAATGATGTGTCCCCTGGAGACAAATCCTAGTGTGTCACCTTGTAGATGTTAGCCTCCCCCTCTCCAAATCCCAGTGTCCATGTTAGTAAAACAAAACAGATGAGGCTGGAGAGATCGCTCAGTGGCTAACAGCGCTTCTAGAGGACTCGTGGTTCCCAGCCCTACAGCCACCTGTGACTCCACCTTCAGGGGATCTGACACGTCCACACATGCGTGGTATACATTCATATAGAGACACACACATACACATAAATACAAATACAAATTGTCTTACATCTTTTCAAAAGTCAAGCATGGTGGTGAATGCTTTTAATCCCAAAATTTAGGAGGCAGAAACAGGCGGCATTACATGAGTTCGAGGCCAGATTGTCTACATAGGGAGTTCCAGGCCTGTCCAGGGCTACACAGTTTAAAAAAAAAAAAATCTTTGCAACAATTCCAGGTGGTTAAGAACGGGGTTTCTGTACAGCTCTTTTAGCTTTTCTTTCCTTTTTTTTTTCTTTTACCCAGTGACTAAAGATCCGAAAGACTGATACCGACTCCCTATGGAGGTCACCGTTTTCAGCCTGCGTCCTCATAGGATCTTGAGGGTCAGGGGGAACAGGGCCCAGCGCGGGTGGGGAAGGTAGATCTGTCTGCAGGCCCTGAAACACCGGCAGTGCTGGAGTGGAATTAGGAGACGGTCCCTAAAACCACGTGACGCTAATCCCCTGCCTCCCTCCCATTTAGTACCCGTTGCAGAAGCAGCACGCGCTAGCCGCAGCCGGTCGGCGCGGACGAACCGCCCGGCACGTCTGGAACCACCGAATGGGGCGGAGTCTCCGCCCTCACCGTGAAGGCTGTCGGGAGCATCTTCACGCCATGAACAAAGATGGCGGACGAAACGCACTAGCTGAACCAATCAGAAGACAACCTGGTAGGGGACGTCGGGGAAAGTTCACGCGAGAGGAGAGGAACAGACCGCCTCTGTGTGCGCGCGCCGTCTCGGCCGGAGTCCGCTGCTTGGCTTCTGAGAAGTGGAAGTTTGCATCTAGTGTAAAGAGACCGCTAGGAAGCCGGCGACGGGCAGTGAATTCTACAGCCTTTGCTTTGAAAATTGTTTTATTCATTGGCTAATGTACCTAACAGCATTGTAAACCAAGGCCAGGAAATGCGCCTGAGATATGTGACTAGATCCTGGGCAGCGTCGGCCCTCTGGCCGCGAGCCCTGCACCTGCTCAGTGCTCCCTCTGCTTAGTGAAGCGAGTCCTCAGGCTGGGCCGGGGCCTCGTCCCGAGGAGAAAGGGGGTCCCCGCAAGGGCCTGGGGCCCGTTCCGGCATTCTGGGCGGTCTGTAACCTGGCGTTCGCTCCCAAGTTGTGTAGCGTCAAGAGCTGCTATTGCAAGGTCGCCTGTGGCCGCCCCTTGCCCCTGGCTCATATGCTTGCCTGACGTATGGCCACCTTCCCGGGCAGCCTCCCTCCCTGGCTACTTGCGTTCACAGGCAAGAGGAACCCACTGCTGCCCTTACACGCCTCCACAGAGAAGGGCCTGCCAAGCCCTCGCTCAGGTCAGGCAGGAGACTGGTTCTCAGGCACTGTGGGAGCCTCAGACTGGGAAGTGCCCACTTCTCATTCTTGTGTAGGGTTGCTCAAGTGGTGGCTTCCTTCGTGAGAGGCTTAGGACCCACCCACAGCCTCCTTGGCCCTTTCAGATCTGTGATCCCTGAGGGTAATTACCCTTGTGCTTTTGTCCAGTGTTTCTCTTTCCCACTGGACAACAGTGGCTAGGTACCAAAGTCCCACAAAACTCTGGGTCCCTGGCAAGCAGTGGGGCCCAGGAGTTGGTGAGGTTCTCAAGGGAAGAGAGAGGCTCTCCGTTTGCCTTCCAGTGCTGATTTGGGTCACCCCTGAGACTTGGGGGGTGGGGGGTGGAAGATACTCAAGCCTTTTACAAAAAGTTTGGAAGAGCTCTGGATTCCTATCACGTGTTTAGCAGCCTGCTCCCTTGCAACCATCATTATGATCATGGAGGTTTGTTCCATGTTCATTTCGGAGCAAGTGTCGCCCCAGCAGCTGGCTTCCCTGAGTGTGACATGCCAATCTCTTGGCTTCTTTCTAATTTCTTCCCTGCTGTCATCCTGGGTACCCTTCCCCTCCCTGTCTCAGCTGTCACTGGACGGGTGAAGTTGGCAAATTCTCCAGGGTAGACATTTCAGACAGTCTCTGGAGACCCCTTAGCAGTCTGGTGACAAGGACCCACTCTAGCTATTTGTCCTTTTTGGGAGTCTCCTGTGCGGTCTGAAGTCTTCCCTCCAGCCCAGTTTCTTCGGGCTACTAGGTTGTAGGAAAGTGACTACTACAAGAAACTGAGCGGGGCAGGCCTGCTGCTGCAGGAGCTGTTATTTGGGGGTGGCCGCCCCCTGCTGGTTCATCTTCTCCTCTGCTGCTTTGTCTGGAAGCAGGACCTCCACAGTGAAACTGACTTTCTTGGCATGGATGAAGCTGTAGGTGTTGTCAAACCGCAGGACATCTGAGGGAGCAGAAAAAGAAACACTCAGGCAGTTCCCACCGGGAGGTGAGGGATGGTGGGAGGTGAGGGATGGTGAACAGGACTGGTTTTTACTGACCCCTCGAGACTGTGTGTTGGGAGATGGAGGTGAAGGTAGTGTAATAGTCCTCGGCCTTCTGGAACTCAAGTCTCACTGGGTTGACAATGTGTTCATAAAGTGGAAAAAAAAAATGTATGACACAGCACAGGCCTAGTGAGATGAGTGACAGACTCACATCTGGAACAGCTTGGAAGAAAAAGGCCTTCAAGACCCAAAGTCATGGCTTCTTCAGACTAGCAGAATAGCGTTAGGAGCCACAGTGGTTGTGATGATGCTGTCTGTGTGTGAAGGCACGGGGTTTGTAGTCTATATGTGTGATCACACTCTTCCTCACGACAACTCTGAATTCAGCAGTAGTCCCGCTTGGCATCAGCTAAAAGGGTTCGATGTCACACAGTGAGGCAATGGCGGGGTTGGACTTCCTCTCTAGTTTGCATTCCTGCCCATAGTCCTGCCTGATTTCAACCCTGGGAAGCCTGGCCCATTCCATTTCTCTGCAGAATGTATGAGCCAGGTGCTCACCCTCCGGGAAGATTACTGGGGCAAAGGGTGCTCCCTGCCTGCCTGCCCATAACAATAAAAGGATGGGCTGCTCATCAAAGGAGAGTTGCCCAAGCAATTCGTGTTGTGATCCGTATACCGGAGCACTGTTCTGATAGAAAAAGAAAGCGCTTAGCTGGCCATGGAGGCACACACCTGCAATCCAACACTTAGGAAGGTAAGGAAGTTTGAGACCAGCCTTGGAAAGGAGGGGGGCATAGGGGAGCGTGTCTAAGATACATGCAGAAGCCAAAATAAACTGCAGAACAGTTTGTAACATTTTTGTTAATTTATGTGTAAAAATAATCTTTTGAGGGGGGAAAGCTTTTTTATTTGTCTCCACTTTGAGGTTCTCTGGTGCTAGCACCTGGGAACGACACTGTTCTAAAGGGAAGGTTTTCTCACATCCTGTGGTGAGTTTCACACTGTCAGACTTTCTTCAAACATTCACCGAATAACAGGCATGGTCCTTGCGAATGGGACTGTGGAAGTTCTTGCCAGGCTTGTTACAGGAGTGCGCCTCTAAAGGGACGGACAGCCTTTGGTAGGCCGGCAGGTGAGAATGCTGTTGGCTATGGTTTCCTCTAGGAGGGAGCAAGGGCACAGTTGGCAGGGACAGCTTCTCGGCCTTGGCAACTGAACAGGCTTGCTTTCACTCTCACCCTGTTTCTTTGCAGGCTTGTTCCGCCTCACTCAAATGCCCCTTCAGGACAGCTGAGCATGAACCCAGAAGCCCCAGCACCTCCCTTCTGCCCTGCTCTCCTCTCGCTTTCTCGGGCCTATCCCTTCCCTCACCCCGGGATGAACTGCATTAGGCCAGCAGTCAGCACCGCGCCTACTCCTTTTTCCTGGTGTCAAGTGTCAGTCATCTGTTTCCCACCTCTACCAGAGGTCCTTCAGATCCCACACTCCCTTCCTCTGAGCACCCAGAGTTCATCGTATGTTGATCTCCTTAGACCGTGATTGAGATGCTTTGTTCAGCAAAATATCTGCCCTCAGACACAAGGAAGGGCTTTGTAGGAGGCGCAGGCACAGGGGAAGTGCCATCACTGTGGCTCCAGGGCCTGCACGGCTCAGTGTGACACTAGTCATGTATTGACAGGCTCATGGAGTCCGTGGGGGCCCTCCAGTCAAGGGCTTCTCAGCATGTGTTGGGTAACTGGCCCCTTTGAGAACCGGGCCGTGTCCCAAAGGGAAAGATGCTGTTCTTTAGGGAAGCAGGGGAATGGTGTCATCTTGCTCTCCCATGTGTTAGCAAATATAAATTCTAGGTCTGGGGCTTGGGGTTAGAGCACTTGCCTAGCATGCAGGAAGCACTGGGTTGAATCCTTGGTGCCTCATAATTATTATATTCAAATTGACTTCCTTTTGTTTCTTTTTTATATTACAGATAGAGTACATCAGTTTTAAAATTATATGTGTAGGTGGGTTACATTACCTGTGAGTCATGGGAACAATAGACATTATTTATAAGAAGGATTCAGAACCACTTCTCTGGGGAGTTCCTAGACTCCAGAAGGAAATCCGCACTAGCCTACTCCCCTCATTTCACAGCGAGGGAAAGCCAAGTCTATTCTTTAGAGCTCCTTGCTGGGAACACTCTGGGAGAGGTGGTGGAAAGCTACACATTCTCAGCCAGCAGGCATCGGTGCCTACCGGGTCTCTTCTCCCTGCACCGTCTGGCCCCTTCCTACAGTGTCTCAGATCTTCCTGTCCACATTGTATCCTGCTCAAAGTCCATTTCATTCTTTTCTCCATTCTTTCCATCCTTCGGTGAGCGTTCCACACAGTAGGCTCTCAGAAAGTAATTGGGAGAAGGTGAACCCCACCCAAATGTTGGCCTCCCCTCAGTACACCTGAACAAGGGGCAGAGAAGCCCAGGCAAGGCTGTGTTCCTACCATTTGAAGCGGATGTACCCAAAGGTTTAATTCTCTATGCAGTGGTCATGCTCCACTTTGCAGGGGTTACCTGGTCCTCAGAGGCATTGCCCTCCCACAGGTGAGCTTTTACCTAATCCTTAGAACTCCAGGCCCTGGTCTCAGCAACCTTGCCTCCTAATGACTTCTGACCCTCCCTCTCTGCCTTTCCATCTGGGAAGGGGAATTTCATCCTGTGGCCTGACTCTGCTCCTCCATCGAATAAACAGATCCCAGGCAGGTAAGGGTTCTTGTGGGGAACAGATCCAGGAAGCACTAAAATAAATTGAAGACTTAGTTCCCATCCTGGTTGTATTAAAAGGCTGTTTATCCTTCAGATAAACAGTGTTGGGGCCCTCCTGCTACCTCCATGGCCTTTGAGGAAGTACTTGATCTGAGACCTTTGTCACAGCAAGGATAAATGTCTTAATTTTCTCTCGGACAGTCTGTGACTAGGAACCTCTAGTACCTTCTCTTGGCATCCACGCTAACTACTTGATACGAGAGAGAACATCTCTTATCTGTGCCTCAGCTGCTAAAGAACAGTCTACCGTGTGAGTGTAAAGTGCTTTCCCCTTTGTGGATGACAGTGCCTGGGCTGTGCCAACCCTTGTTCTGGGTGCAGCACAGAGTATGCTCGCCCCTGCGACTTGGCTGCTCACTATCACGGGTGATCCTGCTCCTCAGGGAGCCAGATTGCGCCCATTGTATCCGTGGGGAGGGAGTACCAGCCTTGCAGGGTGCTGGACGGGAAGGAAGAAGCAGATGTCTGTGGGGCTAGTGCTGACACCTCAGCGGTGCTGCCTGAGCAGCGGAGCCCAGGGATTCTCCCGCCTTGTCCCGTGGTCTCTGGGGACAGTCCTGCTCTCCTAGTTGCCCTAATAATAGTAATAATGATGGCTGCCGGTGCCGAGTTGCATGCTCTGTCTCTGGCTTCACACCCATCGCCTCACAGATCTCATCAGGTGTGATCTGGCATCTCTGTAAGATCCCAGTTGCAGCAATCGGGAAACGCATTTAGGAAGGATAAGTCCTTTGCCCAAGTTCACACACTAGCCAGTGGTCAAGTCCAGGTCAGGTCTGAGCGTAATGCCCTTGCTTGTCACTTTTCTACCCATGGTCTCCTGGCTCTGTCAGAAGGAAAACTAGAAATTGCCTGGCTTGTGTGTACCTAGTGTGTTGGTGCTTTTTCCACTACACTATACAACACTGTAAAACATATTTGCAGAAACAGAGGAAAATGAAATCCCTCTGTAAGCCCTATTACCCTCATTAGTGTGGATTTCCCAGAATTCCTTTCTGTTTATGCACTTTTCCCCTCAACCTCAGTGAATATATGCCATACATGCTGTTTCGTGTTTACCTGCTTAACATGAATTAACCTCTTAACTGTCAGTGTGTTCTCTTTAATGACTCCATGGTGTTCTGTTGTATGGATGGACCTTCTTATGGCCATGTGCTGTGTGGCTGGCTTTCTGGGCTGCCAGGAGCTTCGTGGTCCCCTAGCTTTATGTGTTTGTAACGGTTTCTGTAGGACACATTTCAGAAGTAGGATTCTGGGTCGAAAGGGGTTTTAACCAATACCAAATGAGCTCCTGTAAGTGCTTTTGTTGTATGTAAGCTGCCGTCTTGTGTCCTGTACCTGCTCTTTAGTCAACCTGGAGGTGAGTGGTTCTCAGGATGTTCAAGGCTGGCATCTGGAGGGGGGGCATGCTGTGCCTTGTGAGATCTTCACACCCCCACAGTCAGTTCTGACTCTCTGGCTTCTGGAGGACAAGCATCCTTACAAATGTCTGGCTGCTGTCTCAGTTAGCCTTGGACAGAGCCTGTGCGGCCCAGGCTGGCCTCAACTTCAGTCCTGCTTCAGCCTCCTAAGTGTTGGGATTACAAGTGTGCTCCACCATGCTCAACTTCCAAAAGCAGGTGTTCTGAGCCCCGTACTTACCTGCTATGGTAATCACCTCTACTTGGGAATATCAGGGGAGAGTCCCGCCCTGCTGTTCACTATCTGGCCCCCCTTAAGGAAGTCACTGCATCTCTCCAAATCTAGTTTTCCTCCTCTGTATCAGGAGAGGTGACCTCGTAGAGTGCCCCTTCCTATTCTGACACTGAGGTGACCAGTGCACTGAGGAAGAGGTGTGGCATAAGTGGAAAGGTGATGGCTTTCACGTGTTGCCAAGACCCAGATACTTACAGATGCCTGGCTCACTGCAGGTGAGGGTCCCGTCCTCAGGGACCATGTGGGAATTGTACCTCTGGCTGGGCAGCACCTCTGTCATCTCCCCTGCCCGCTGCCGTTCCCCCATCTTGGTCTTCAGGAAAATCCCAAAACCCACGTCTGATCCCTCCGACATAAACTGCCACCTGCAGGGGACATCCACTTGTGTGTGTCTGTGTCCATGGCGACTGGGTTTCTTGCACCCCAGCCCAGCCACTGGCACTGACAAATGCTCAGGTCCCTGGAAGCACCCAGCCCTACCTGAGGACACAGCCGGGGAAAAGGATCTCGTACTCCACTTGGTGGGAGGAGCCTCGGGAGATCTGCACGCTGTGCTCATACTGCTGGTTCACCTGGTCTCGCACATAATACTGCTTGGGGATGTCACCCCCATAGTTGATCTGGAAGCAGAGCACAGGGTGAGTTTGGGGTACCCATCTGAGCAAAGACTCTCCCCGTTGACCTCCAGCTGGTGGCCCATACCTTGGATTTACACTTGGGGTTTCCATCAGGGTCGGTCATAGTGCCGCCATACTCCACAGGCAACTGTTCAGGGCTGACATGTTTGAGTAAAACCTCCTTCCAGTTTGCTGGCAGGAAAGGGAAGGACAGAAAGGTGTCACTAGGCAGGACTTCAGACCTGGTGGTCAGCCCTGAAGAGGCAGGAAAGGCTGGCCCTGCCTTCAAAGGAAGAATTATGGCTTGGGCATGGTGTACACTTGGGCACTCAAGGGGCTGCAGGCAGGAGAACCGTTAGTTTGAGGCCAGCCTTGGCTCCATAGTGAGACTGAGTCTGGGAGGAAAATGGAGTACTTCATGAGCATGTGGTGCATACACAGTACTACACAGAGTTAGAAAGAGCCATTACCCAGAGAACAGCGCTACCTGGTCCAGGATTCAGAAATCCTGGGCTGCTGTCATGGTGACCGACCACCAGCTCGGCAACCTTAGGGACCTGCTTCATCCTGAGCTGCCTACTGTGCACAACTGTGAAGGCAGCTAAATGAATTGAGGATGCATGAGAGGACTTTGTAAATCAGTATATTACCACACCCAGGAAAGGATACAAACATTCAAATAAAAGCCGGATGGGGTGGGGGGTGGGGGGGGGTCATGGAGAGGAGCATGCTGCAGGGGCAGAGAAGTCTTTAATCACAGGTTCTTATCCAGTTATGCTGAACTCCCATCTTCTCCTACACTGGCTGAATGAGCACCCCACTGGAGAGTGACCCCTCAAATGGGCTGACATGGCTTGACCCAGCCAACCTCACTTCTGTTCTTGTTGTTTTGGGCTGGTTGACTGTTTTTTGTTGTTATTGTTGTTTAGTTTGTTTGTTTGTTTGGTTGGTTTGTTTTTCTGAAACAGGGTTTCTCTGTGTAGCTTTGGTGCCTGTCCTGGAACTTGCTCCGTAGACCAGACTGGCCTTGAACTCACAGAGATCCGCCTGGCTCTGCCCGCCCCCCTCCCCGCCCAGTGCTGGGATTAAAGGTGTATGTCATCGCCACCCAGTTTGTTTGTTTGTTTGTTTGTTCTAACCAAATCTTCTCCTGATTGGAGCAATTAACTCTTGAGTGTCTGGTGCCAAGAACCATTTCCCCAAGAAATACCAACCTAGTGCAATGCTTTAGTACCGGAAACCACGCTAACTATATAGACCATCTATACCCAGCAGCTCCAGGCCAGGGACTAGCCTAGTATCCTCTGCATAGATGACTGGAACACTGACTGTCCTGTGTCTGCTAACCCTCAGGTGTTTAAGGATTCCCAAACCATGTGACTCTTGAGAACACAGTGCCTGAGCCTTGGGGTGATTTCATCAGCATGGCTAAACTCCAGTGACCAACCTGGAGTAACTTTGATCCCTCCTCTGTTGGAGATCTTGTTTCTACCCAGTCTGCCCAAGGCACATTTGGTTGAAAGAATTTTAAGTGTGGGAAGGAGAACAGACCGAACCTCCTACATAGCTCTGCTGCCAGGGAACCAAACTGCCTCACGCACTTGGTGGGTGGTAGCAGCAGAAAAACCAAAAACCAAAAAAACCTACTGCTTTCATTTTGCTGTTTCTTCTCCCAGCTGAGCTGGAGAGCTGGAAGAAAATCAAGAGAGGTCTTCCCATCCTGCACAGAGCAGCATCGGCCACAGCCAAAGCTGGGCTGCAGTACAGAAGGCCTGACATCCTTTTGTTTGAAATGGGATCTTACTGTGTAACCCAGGCTGGCCTGGAATTCACTGTGTAGTTTCAACCTTCTTCTGCCTCCCTAGTCCTGAGGTGTCTTAAAATGCATTTTTGTTCTTTTAAAATTTTTATCGCCATTACGTGTGTGTGTGTGTGTGTGTGTGTGTGTATGTGTGTGTGTATGTGTGTGTGTGTGTATGTGTGTGTGTATATGTGTGTGTGTATGTGTGTGTGTGTGTATGTGTGTGTGTATGTGTGTGTATGTGTGTGTGTGTATGTGTGTATGTGTGTGTGTATGTGTGTGTGTATGTGTGTGTGTGTATGTGTGTGTGTGTATGTGTGTGTGTGTGTATGTGTGTGTGTGTATGTGTGTGTGTGTATGTGTGTGTGTGTATGTGTGTGTGTATGTGTGTGTGTGTATGTGTGTGTGTGTATGTGTGTGTGTATGTGTGTATGTGTGTGTGTATGTGTATGTGTGTGTGTGTGTGTGTATGTGTGTGTGTGTGTGTGTGTGTGTGTGTGTGTGTGTGTGTGTGTGTGTGTGTGTGTGTTGGGTGATGCATTTGTGGAAGCTTAAGAACAACTTTTGGGGATTGTTTCTCTCCTTCCACTGTGGGATCAGGGATCAAACTCAGGTCATCAGCCTTGTATAACAAGTATGTTTCACCTGTGGAGCCAGCCCACACTGTCTCACTACATAACCTGGGTTGGCCTTGAACTTAGAATGTAGCCCATACAGACTGGAACTGGAGATCCTCCACCTCCAAAGTGCTGGGAAAATAGACGTTCACCACCTTCCCAGTCCAAAGTTGCCACTCTCACTTTGTCTTAGCCCAAAGGTAAAGAAGCAAACCAAAATTGCCCATGCAATGTGTTACGTAAAGGCAGCCCCGCAGACACCTTCAGAATCACTATTACGACGGCCAGTTCAACTCCAGAGCCTGTCCCGGTCCACCTCTGTAGCCCGTCAATCCACTCCCTGTCTCCACTAGGCTGGTTCCTGCGTGTCTGGCTGGTCTGGGGTCACGTGTTCCCTGTGCCCTGGCCCTCTCCCCACTCCTCTGCCAGCCTCACTAATCACTCCTCACTGTCCCCAGGGGTTCCGCTTGTTCTGCCTGCACTTGAACTGGATCCTCAACTTCGGGAGGTCTCGCACGGTCGGCCTCTATTCATTTTAACCTCCTCTCTGCAGCCAGTCGAACTCTGCTGTTCGGCTTCCGAGGCAGGTTTTAAGTCCAGCCTTTCCTTCTTTTCCCTGATGCCGCAGCCTCAGCTTACACCACCCCTTGCATAGGCGTGCAAACTGATATCTGGCTTCCATGGACTTTCGCTGCTAAGTACAAGTCCATTGAAAATCTGACCATGGTACTCCCCTGCCAAGCACTTCTCTGCTTCCCAGGGGCCTAAAGAGTCATGCCCCAGCCTCTCAACATGGTGTCCTGGTGTCTGTGTGACCTGGCTCCTGGCTCCCTCTGCAGCCTCATCTCTTGCTACATTCTGCCTCACATTCCATGACGACTGCCTGCACCATCCGAAGGGAGGTCTTCACTCAGTTCTCCTCTTTCTGCTTTGTTCCACGTGGCTTAGGTGGCCACGGCTCTCCCCTCAACTCTGGTGGGATGAGTGTTGCTGCTAGGTGTGACTGTACACTGTGGTTTACCTTTCTTCCTTGTATCTCGTCACGATGATGAGCATATTTGTGCCTCCCTCCCCCGAGAGCTAGCCAAAGGACTGTTTTACTAATCCTGGCAGCCTGGCACCTAGTCCTGGATCTGGCACAGAAAAGGTGTTTGTGGAAGTGGGGCCACTCTTACTCGCCCCCAGATGATCTCCACGCACCCTCTTGACGCTCTTTCTAGCGCCTTCTGGTTCCTACCATAGCCTTCTCTCTGCACGTGTCTCTCCCCTGTAACACTGTAAGCCCCTTAAGGATAAGCGCTGGAATTCCATTCATCTTGGAATTTGCACGGGGAGCCCAGTGCTTGCTTCCAGAGTATGTGAGAAAAGATGTCCTGACAGAAACACAAGAAGACACAGATCTGTCTCCACTGGCCCCTGTGTCCCAACCACTCCCAAAGTAGAAGACAGGCCTTTGCCCTGTAGGCGTGACCATACCACCAGAGCCAGCCAGACCCAATTTGAGCCACACACCAATGTGGAGCATTTGGGCCACTTACCCCCCAAGACCATAATCTTCTTACGAGTGTCCTCACTTAGGAAGGGCTTGATGAGGTTATAGGCCACAGGAAACAGCTTGGGGGCTGGAAGAGAGACAAGGCCACGTGAAGCAGAGAGCAAGGGTAACTTAGGTGCCGACAGCATCATCCACCACCCACCTCCGCACACGGGGCAGCTGAGCCTGGGGCTCAGCCAGGCACGTCTGAAGTCTAGCCCCCAATCTGTACAAGGGCTGTGGCCAACCAGTCTCCTCCTGTGGCGTCACCAACCTGAATGCTATTGGGCCAGTTGGCTCAAATGCTCTGGGAACTGTAAAGCATCTGTACGGGTCAAGGTTAAGGTCAAGGTCAGGCTCCTAGACAGGTTCTCAGGTCTCTCCTTTGGCTCACTGTTCACTCAGTCTGCCCCCAGGTAATGGTTTGGGCCTCTTGTTCTCATTTGGTTCATCACCAGAAACTCCCAGCTTACCTTTAACCACAAACAGACGCTTCAGTGTTTCTGGATAATTTTCTTCAAACATGGAGAGAAACTGTGGAAGCAAAACGGGTCTAGTTTCAGTAGCTCAGGCCTCCAGGCCACGGTGCCCTTGTTTCCTGAGTCAGCCCAGCTGAGCGGTCCCTCCCGCCTCCACTTCCTGCCTCTTACCTCTCCATAGGCCTCCACTGCTGGCTTCCAGAGGTGCTTGAGGCCAAGTCCCTCGCAGTCATAAATCATGGTGATGGTCTCAATCTTCTTCCCCAGCTACAGGGAACAGACAGTGGAAGACAGATCACTGGCCTGCTGTAGAACTCACTGAATTCAGGGCCAGTGCTGATTGCACCAGGTACAAACAGAGCAAGCAGCAGAGGGCCGGGCGGGGCCGGACTGGGCCCAGGGCTTTTCAGATGCAGATGTCATCTAGGGTGGAACTGTGACCTAGACAAACTGTTCTCATTTGGCTAATCACAGGGGTGGCTCAAGATCACATCTGAGGTCCTCACTGTCCTGCGGATTCTCCTGATGGTCTCTGTCTTGCTGTCAATCACTGTGTGCTCCCTGGACAGCCTTCATAGGGCGGGCGCCTGGGCCTAAACCACCCCTCCTGCAGGCACAGATGCTCCATTCTACCTAAGCTCTAAGGAAGCATCAGGTTGAACCCCTTTTGTGTCCCCAGCCTCTCAGAGGTTCTGTACTGAGTGGGCTCTATTTGTGAACATCTGCAAATAACGGTGCTGAGATGTCCCCATGCTTTAACACATCAACTGTGGGGGGGGAGGGGAGACAAGGGATGGCTCCAGCTTGGTCCTCAGTCCTTCCTTTCTTTTTTAAAAAATACATCTTTCTCTCTCTCTCTCCACCCCCCGCCCCCATGTGTGTGTGTGTGTGTGTGTGTGTGTGTGTACATGGCACAGTGGGAATGTGTAGCTCCAAAGATAACTTGGGGAAGTTGCTTCTCATCTTCCACCATGTAGGTTGTCAGGCTTGCTGGCAAGTCCATTTACCTGCTGAGCCATCTCTCCAGCCCCTCAGTCTTTTTCTTAGCAGGGAATTATCACCCTAATGTCTTGAAAATAAACTTGGAGGAGCAGAGATTCTGGGTTCATCTACACCAGGACTACCCCCGACCCCCCATAGCTGCCCAAGGGTAGTTTAGTGCAAGACAAGATCTCACTGGTCCCCACAGAAACAAGAGAAGAAGCAGTAACAATGTGGTGAGGTGGTTTTCTTAGTCTTCCTGGTTTTCTGTGGTCCTGAGAATTAAACCTAGGCACTTTGGGCTAGGTGACTGCCTGTCACTGAGTAACATCTCCAGCTGTAGTCATTTATAGTTTTTTGTTTTCTCTTTTGTTTGTTTTGCTTTTTCAAGACAGGGTTTCTCTGTGTAACAGCCCTGGCAGTCCTGGAACTCACTCTGTAGACAAAGTTGGCCTCGAACTCACAGAGATCCGCCTGTCTCTGCCTCTGCTAGGATTGAAGGTGTGTGCCACCACTGCCCGGCTAATTTTTTGCTTTCTTTTGTTTGTTTTTAAGGTCTCACTGTATAGCCCAGATTAGCTTCAAATTCAAGGTCCTCCTGCCTCAGACTTGTGAATCGTGGGATTACAGGTGTATACCACTCAACTCTGCTGTATCGGGTGGAAGCCCTGGGTGTGCAGGGTGAGTGTTGTACCCACTGAGCTCCAGCCCTCACCCTAGTGAAGTTTTTATTAAGCCAAGTGTCTTCGATGTAAAGAACTGCTTTTTATTCTTAGATCTTTCCTATACATACCATTCCTGTAGTTTGGGGGATTCATCGGGGCAATAATAGACGGTTATTTTAAGTTTTTACTTAGCAAAATGAAAGTGTGACAAGATGGGAGTAGAGTAGAGATCACTTGCCTACATGCACAAGGCCCTGGGATCAATCTCCAGTCAAAGGAATGGAGAGAGGGAGGAAAGGAGAGAAGGAGAGAGGGAAGAAGAGAAGAGGAAAACAGATGGATTGGTGACATGATGTTCATCTAAAACCTTGAGATTTCAGGTCTATGAAACCCAAACCCCGAGACTGGCAAGCTGGTGCTTCTCTCCCTGTGTGACATTCCTGCTTCTCCTTGAATGTCTCCACCATGATCAAATCGCTCTCTATGGCAGACAGACCACCCACCTTTGTGGTCTGGTTGGCACACTCCTGCAGAAGCAGCTCACAGTCTCTCATCTTGGTCCTGAGCAGGTCCTGCTTGGAGGCGGAGAATAGCAGACCCTTGGCATCCAGAGGCCCAATGATGTCGTACCAGACTGGGCAGCCATCCAGGTCGTAGCCACACCTGCCGCCTGCCAGATACTGTTGGATCACCTGGCCAAGACATAGTAAAAGCACCTCGTGAACAGGCCTAAGACATCCATCCCTTCCTCTGGTTCACAAGTCTCTCCCTTCACATCCTCCCCTGGGTGCCAAGAGATACCTGTTTTGGAATTATAGTGACTCCTCTGGCACTATCAGACCTGTCCTCTGAGGCTCCCAGTCCAGTGGACCAGGGTACAAACTGTGAGTCTAATAAGCATCCTTACACAGGGATGGAGTGGGATAATTTGTCCTCACCTCTGGTGGCTGCCAGCTGATGATGTTGTCAATGTCCTTTTGCTTCCGGAATTCCACATGCTGCAAATACACAAAGATGTAGGAAGCACAAGGCGGAAGAACAGGTGTGTGGTGGTAGGGGGTTATTGAATAGGAATGAATAGGTGATCGCCGCAGATGACCCCCTGGAAGGAACTGGACAGAAGTGGAAAAGGAGGCCCCAGTTTCTTCCGGTATCTCAGCAAAATATCATTCCCAGCTGGTCAGGACGTAGGAAAGCCCAATGTTTCCAGGGAAGGAAATGCACTTTGTCCCTCAGGGGTAAAGCAACAATTGTTGGCTAATAGCCGTGTCACACAAATCAAAACCTATGATGGGGCGGGTGACGGGTAGGCAGGAGAAGTCCAGGCAAAAAGTGGCTCTGACAGGAGGGACCATAGCAAAAGAAACTCACCTTCCGGAGCATGGCCTCTGACTTTTGCAGGTCAAAGTTTCGGGCTGTAACAAAAGCATGGCCGGGGTTGGCCATCAGACTGCATGTCTAAGGACCTGTTCCCAGGCTGGGGCCAAGTCCCCTCGTGGGTTCCCCCCATCCAACTGTCAGATTCGTAAAACACCATAGCCCTGGGTTTGTGGGGTAGACAGGTCAAGTTCAAAACAGCTGGGAGTAGGCAGTATTGCAACCCTGGGGTCAGAGTATTCTGATGGATAATCAGGTGAAGGGTCTTATCTCAGAGAAAATGAACCCTGGATCCTTTTATCAATTGGCCATTCCCCACAAGGACAAAATACATCTCCTCCACAGTATAACATCCATCCCTGAGAAACTGACCCACAGTTCAAAGGTGAACATAGCTGCCCCAGGAGCTGGGCAGAGCTGGCCAAACATCCTGGAGAGGTAGAGGAGTCAGTACGCCTCCAGGCAACCCTGACATTTCTCTAAAGGACCCACACATTCCTGAAAGCAGCACAGTGGGTTCTTGAGTCCATTTACCTGGACCCACCCCAACAAGTCGTCCTGCTCAAATCTGAACCCAAGATGTCACTGTCCCCCGAGGCCACTTGCAGATAACCAGAGCTGCCATCTGCACTCACTTGTTGTAAGCAGCAGCCTACTCCAGAGGCACCCCAAGAACAGGGTTATCCCCCATCATACAGCAGTCCTTCCAAACATGAATTCTCTGCTGCCCCCCTGGGCCTGCCCTCCCATTGTGCTGTCCGTCCTTCGAGCCTCCGTTTCTCACACTCAGCTCCACAAACATCCTAATCACTTCCCTGTGAATGTTGCCCCCCTGGTCAGGGCCCCTCCTAGGTGAACTTCAAGCTAAGCCCGGAGGTTGTTTGCCCCTTCTCCAAAAAGTCCTAAGAACTCTCTTGGCAACAGTCACACCTTTAGTCCAGGTGGAGCTTAGAGTCAACTGAAACCCCAAATCCCTCACACCTGTGCTCTGGCTAAGCCTCCAATCCCTCCATAGAGAGAGAGGCAGACTCTTCACCGCATCCTTCTCACATTTCACCACTGGAGTTTACTTCATTCCGTCATTTAAAGAGTTACTGAGATTCTGATGGGCTTGGCCTCTGAGCTATGTTCATAGGTCATATATCTCTCCTGATTGTACATCCTCCATGGATTTAATTGGCATCTAGATCTGCTGAGAGCCCTGGAACTGAACATACAGGCTGCCCTTTGGGCTGTCAGCTGTCCCTTCATCATTGCTCTCGGAAAGTAGGGGAGCATACTCCCTGATTCTGCATTCATGAAGTCCCGTCCTCCATCTGAGTCAGGATGGTTTGTCTAAAGGTCTGACCAAGCCTAGGTGCAGTGCCTGGGTAACCAGGCCTGGGTGTGGTTCCTTGGTAGGCTGAGACACCAGGGTCTCAAGTTTGAAGTCAGCCTGGGCCGCATAGGAAGTTCATGCTAACTCGGGCTACATATTGAAACATTATCTTAAGAAAGAAAACAAAATGGTCAGTAAGATGGTTCAGTCGGTGGGCTGGAGAGATGGCTCAGTGGTTAAGAGCACTGGCTGCTCTTCCAGAGGTCCTGAGTTCAATCCCCAGCAACCACATGGTGGCTCACAACCATCTATAATAGGATCTGATGCCCTCTTTGCCCTCTTCTGGCCTGCAGGCAAATGTGCCAACAGCACTCATACCTAAAAAAAATACATTAAAATGAAAAAAAAAAAAAAAGATGGTTCAGCGCGTAGAGGAGTTGCTGTGCGAGCCTGGCAGCCTGACAACTTGAGTTTGCTTCCCAGAACCCGTGCACAGCCACCCTCTCACCCCCACGTGTGCACTGTGGCATGCACTGCCCACCCCAGTCTCCCCCCCCATCCTCCCCCCGATACTTCTTAAAGACAAGAGAAAGGGTTGGCCAGGCCACCGCCACTGTGCATGCCAGATCCTTTCTGGCAGATCTGAACAGCCACTCTGGCAAGTTGGGCTTAGGCGTTTCCTCACTGCCACCCTTCCTGTGCCACCAGCAGCCCAGGGCAGCTGTTAGAGGGATTTAATGTGGGTCTTCATCTCAGCTCTCCCGTCTTGTATGTTTACAAGATACTGCGTATGCCCACCATACCACTGAAGAAGCTAGAACTGAATGTCCTTTGTAACAGAGGAGCTAGACCATGAAAATGAGAGTTTCTCACAGAAAGGACAACCCTCTAGAGAGGAGAGCCCTTATCTCCATAAGAGCAGGGATCCAGGAGTAGTAAACTGAGTGCCCTTATCTGGGACAACCTCTCTAGTTAACCCTATCTGCCAAGGTCCAACATTCAGGGTCTTCCCCACCATGTCTGTTGAGTCAGGTCTTTCTAGGCTCCTGCCACCCTGCTCAGAAGCAGCTGAAAGCCTGGCATGGGGCATTGCACAATAACCTGGCCCAGGAACAGCCAGGGTGGGCTCTGGTTTACCCATACCGTAGCCCTGTAAGTTGCAGCTCACTCAGTTATGCTCACCTCTCTCCCAGGGCTCCTGCCACCTCTATTCTGTCTTGCTCACTGGCCTTCCTTGCTGGGGTACCCAGATCTCACTTTCAGCCAGAGAGAGGCAGTGGACACTTGTGTGCCTGCTGGGGAGGGTCAGCAGAGAACTGAACCCCAAGCTCACATCACATTCTACTGCAAAGGACTCCTTTAGAATCAATGGGATGGGGTAGGGGAGTGCTTTTTTTTTTTAAGGCAATAAAACCCCAATTCAAATTTGTAATAGGGTGTGAGTAGGCCAGAGCTCCTGCCCAGAAAATGTGAGGCACAAATGAACTGCAGAGGGGAAACTTCTCTGCTCTCAGAAGCAGAGTTTGAAACCGGGAGTGTAACTCAGCGGGAAAATGCTTGCCTGGCATGCCCCAGGCCCCAGGTTCGATCCTCAGCAGCTCAAAAACAATTACGAAGCAATGCTTGGCCTCAGGAGCAGTTCACTGGGAAGGAGTCCGTGGCTTACTGGAAAAGGTGCTGGCTAGGAATCCAGAGCCCTGGGCTCCACTCTAATTGGCCTTTCCATTTCCTTGTGCCTTCGGTAAGTCCCTTGCCCTATCTGAGCCTAAGTTTTCTCTTCTGGAAAACGAGAATTACCATCCTATGAGGGTGGAGCTGGTGCCCGATGTGGGCCCTGACTAAACTATCAAGCCTTATGCAAATGGTTTCTCCCATCCCAGGACTCTGATAGTAAAAGCTTAGTGTCTGGGAGACCAGTCGCCAAGACCTCACACTGGCCTGTGCCTAAATAAAGTAGAGCTGTGGGGCTGTTCAATGGGTCTCTCACGCGTCCCTTCCTTACAGCAGCAGCTCCATAGTTGGTTGGATCATCTTGCAGCTGGCCCTTTAAGGAGGCTACTACTTCCCACTCTCTCCACCCACCTGCTTCTAGCTGTAGCCTTTCAGCAAATGTTAGGCCAAAATTTCCTCCAGCATAGACAGACTTCATTGCCACCCCCACACTACCCTCCACCCTCTTCAGGTGGGCTGGGAGAGGGTCAGATTACAGGGAGGTGGGGTAAGGGTGAGCAGGTGATACTTCCAGGGGACCATGAGCCCCATATGGCTCTCCTGGGTACACCTGTCCTGGGGTATTGCTAGCAGGCCTTCAAGGATATGCCAGCTTCATTAAATTTCTGGAAAGCAAAAATTACTTCTTTTTGTCTATTGCAAGTCTTCCTGAGCTGGGAGATGTGTGAGTGTGTCTGCAGAGAAGTCTCAAGGCAGGCCCTGTACTCTAACATTTACAACAGAATTCTACGTCATAACTGGAGCACAGCTAGTCAAACGCAGTAGAATTCTCTCTCTCTCTCTCTCTCTCTGGTTTTCAAGACAGGGGTTCTCTGTGTAGTTTTGGTGTTTGTCCTGGATCTCACTCTGTAGACCAGGCTAGCCTTGAACTCCCAGAGATCTGCCTGGCTCTGCCTCCCGAGTGCTAGGATTAAAGGCGTGCGCCACCACCACCCGGCTCTCGTTTTTTTTTGAATGTCTGGTAATAAAGTTTCTACAGAGAAAAATGAACATGCGTCAGAAGAGCTCGGAAGGTGGCACATGCCTTGGATGACGGGTAAGGAGAGGGAAGAGGACAAAAAGGTACAAGGAGTAGAGGTTGAGTCTGATCTTGACACTAGCAGCAACATGTTCCCATCATAATAAAAACAGACCTTGTCTTGCCATAGCTTGCAAAAAATCTGGGCACCGTGTCTAATCCACATCTCATAGGAGGAGCCTAGATAACTGTGACCTTAGCCCAGGTGTCACAGCCAAGCTGGCACATGGCTAGGACTAGAACTCAAGACCCTGGCCTGTGGGGGGAGGGGGCACCCTCCTCAGTCCCCATGCACAGTGTCCTTCATTCAAGCTGACAGGACCAGGACCCTGGTTCTAATCTCAGCTCTGCCTCCAACTTCCCACATAGTGAGGCCTTTCTGGGCCTGGATTTTCCTTCATGTGTCTGCAGAGCAGATTGACAGGGTAGATGAAAAGGACCGTAACAGTCCATACCCAGAGGTTTGAGTCTTCTTTCTGACTGCAGCTCACCCAGCAAGTCCCTTCACCTCTCTGAGCTTCCATATGTTGTAGATGGGATGGGGGAGGAGTTTGGGGGGGTGCAAGCCATTTTTTTTTGTGTGTGTCAGCTTGCCAGGGTTTTCAGAGGACATGAACACGCCCCTGCCCCAGCCCCCCACAGCCCCTCTTCCCTCACCTCGGAGCCATCGAAGGAGAAAGTAGTCATCTGGATTGGGCAGGGTGGGCAGCACGTCCTGGACATTTTCACGAAACTATAGGGAGAGACAGCTGGGTGAGTGGGAGCCCCCCAGCCTCGCTCTCCCCAGAGTGGCCCTCCACGGGGGCCTTTGCCAGAGACCCCCTTTACATACTGTTGTAGCCGCTGGCTGAGTGAGGTTGTGGGCTGTGTTGCCGTGAGTGCTGGGTAGGAGGGGGGGCACAGAAAGTGACTGGGACACTGCCGAGCCTCACTTATAAGCATGTCTCCATGGTGGCAAGTGGGTGTGTTCCCAGCCAACAGTGATAGATGGCAGGTGCTCTGGTCAAGCCACAGTGTGTGCCGTCTGTATACCTAGCACCTGTTCTGTGCATGGCACTGATCTGGACTCTGTCCCTTCCATGTCCCCCAGATCCCCTAGAGGTGTCACTGTCCCATTTTACAGACAAGATATGAAAGCACCGAGGCTCGGCACCACACCCAACAGCTGGGATGCGAATCTGAGTCCAGATCCCAGGTTCTTCCCTGGGCAGTCTTCCCGCCCCCTTGGTAATGGAGTGGGGAGCAGAGGGAAGGAAGGGGGTAGTCTTGAATGACTGAGCTGAGTTTGAAAGACCACAAAAGCAGCAGATGGAGGGAGGGAGGTGGGAGATGGACAACCCAGATGGAGCGGACAGCTCCAGCGGGTAGCCACAAAAGGAAACGTACTACGAGAGCCACCAAGTGAGGTGGACAGTGACCCCAAGGGGCAGCCACACCCAACTCCAATCCCTCACTACCCAGGAGTGAGCAGCCCCCTGCTGCTCTCCCCAAGCCTCCTGCCCCAGCAGTGACCTTTATCTGGTCACTGAACTGTAGGACACCCCCAGAGGGGACCAATGAGGACTGGCCACCTCTGCCCTTTGCCTTAGGTCAGGTAGGTCTGGCCAGACCCTCCCATCCCCCAAAAGCAGCTCCCAGCATTAGGGCAATGGTCATCTAAACAGCAAGGGGAGGTCACCTAACCTAGCCCCTGGCTTAAGCACCACCAAACCCATGTCCACCAGACTTCTCCTGCAGGTCAGCAGTACACTTAACATGGAAAAAAAAAAAAAAACCACCCACAGCAGCCACATCTGCTGCTACACTCTAGAATAAATAAGAAACTGCCTGGCTGTGGAGCCTCCGAACATTGGGGCTGGACCCCACCAGTTCTGATCCAGTGCAACTGAGGAGATTAAGTCTTTTGGGCAGAAGGGCCAGCCCCTGAACTTGAATGGAGTAGGTAGGTCCCTCTCTGCCCAGGTGCCAAGGCAAAGCCTGGTCATGCCCTTTCCTTCTGAGTGGCAAGGGTCTGGGTTGCCAGAGGGAGGAGGGCTCTTTTCTCGGAAAGTAAGCCAAACTAGTTAGTGCCGGCATCTTAGACTTCACGCACAGAGGTGCCCCGCGGCCACCCTCTTCTAATTTCATCAAAGAGCACACAGGACAGGGCTTGGCCCAAGGTCGCACAGTGACTTGGTGCCTCGCAAAGGCTATGGGGAGTTTGCCAAGGAGCTGTCCAGGACCCTTCCATATGCCACTGCCCACGCCAGAGGAAAACCTCCCGGAAATGGGAGGAAACCTGGGGCCGTGCCCCTGTCCCACGGCTCTGCTGCCAGTCCCTGCCAGCCCCGAGGATGAATGTTGCCTTTGTGCCCTCAGCTGCTTCTGAGGGCTTCCAAGCAACCACTTCTTCCCAGGGGGCACCGCCAGGGCTGCTCGTGCTGGAGACGGCGATGACCAAACTTGCCGAGGTTCTCACACTGAGCGAGAAGCGGCCCTCTGGGCACTGTCCAAGCGGGGGGGCGACCGGCCGGCTCTCCCTCTGGGCGCTCGCCCGCGGGGACCGTCCCTCGCAGCCGCTTCCAGCAGGAGGGCGAGGGCCACAGCTGGGCCAGGATCAGGCTCACCTTGGCCAATGCCTCCTCCTGTTTGGGGCTCAGGTCACCCACTCTGCCGCTCATCGCGTCTCAGCCTCGGGGCGCGGCGCCTGCGGCAGCTGATGGAGCTCTAACTGGTTTGCCGCTGGAGTAAAGTCCCAGTCTTTGGCGGAGGCCCCGGGGCTGGCGGCCAAGACCCGCCTCTTAAAGGAGCCCGAGAGGCGGGGCCAGACGCGCAGAGGCCCTGGAGGCGAGCCAGGACGCCTACTCAGGACACCTGAGCTTCTTGGGCGTACTCCTCATCCGATCCAAAAGGAGGCTGAGAAGAGCTGGCTAATGACCTCTTCTAAGGAGCGACTCCACAGGGCTGGACCGAGCTGCTCTTTCAGTGCTTTCCTTACCCCAAAATGTTGACAGCTCTCCTCGTGCCCACTGGGATGGGATGCCCCCTACACGGCGTCGTTTTGCTTCTAGGAACTGTGGTGCTGATTGCCATCCGCTTATGATCCCTACTACCAGCTCAGCTTAGGGGACATTCAGAGTTGACACCCAGGGTTCCGATGTGACTCAGTTGGTAGTAGAAGGCTCGCCTAGCATGCACAGTCTTGAGTTGGATCCCCAGCACTGCGTGGTCAGGATGGCACATTTCTACACTTACCTGTAATCCCAGCATTGGGGAGGTGGAGGCTGAAGAATCAGAAGTTCAAGATCACCCTTAGTTACTTATTGAGTTTGAGGCTAGCCTGGAATACGAACAAACAAACCAGAGTTGGTATCCTTTTTCCTCTCCCTGCAGAACAGGCATGGTGGAGAACATGGTGTCTGGCTGAGGGGCAAGGAAGAACAGCCTCCCCACCTAGGACCCAGTTCTCTGTGTCTGACTTTCCCTGCATTCTGGGAGCTGTCTACTCCCAGAGCTCTCATGTCTCAGCTGGCATGTGCTGCTTCCTCTCTGGAAATCTGGAGGCTTGGGTCTGAGTGCCCACGTTCCACAACTTTCTACAAGTCCCTTTGCCTCTACATTGTTGCTCCTTCACTCATCAGGGGTGATTTGGGGCCTAGAAGTCAGCAGGAGGCTAGAAAGAGTTAATATGCATAATTCTTAGACTTGACTTCTGGTGGCCACTTCCTAGCTGGCCCTGCACAGTCATCCTTTGCTGGCTGCCTGGTCAGAACTCAGCCATAGGCTAGACAAAGAGGAGAACCACAGCACCCGGGGCCCTCGGCAGCCCTACCGTAGCTTATCTGCTTCCCAGCACTGGCCAAGGGCCTGTGGGCTCCTCACTAGTGACAAATGTGACTTGTGGGTAGACTCTGAAAGCCACAGCCTAGCAGCTTCACGTCTAGCCTATGCCACCAGACTGCCCCCCCCCCCCCAGTTACTGCCTCTGCCCTACACAGCAAAACAATTTCCTCTTCTCAGAGTCCAACGGCCCCTCCTTCTGCTGGAGCCCCTGCTACTCTGATCTTATTTCCATGCATCTGGCACCTGGTCACAAGTCCAGGGCCACTTTTTCTTCCTACTGTATGCCAAACAGTGGGCACTGTTCTGGAACCCAGCAATGTTCACACACCACCCTTTGGTCCCGAACATACTAAAGAGAACGCAAAAGCAAGGCAGATGGCCAAGGAGAGGGTCAAACAGTCGGAGATTGGGAAGGACAACGTTTGCTTTGGATGAAGGAACCCTAGAAGGCTCCATGGAGAGAGGAGACTCTAACCTGCACCTTAAGATGTGGGGGATGTGGAAGAAGGCCCTCTCAGCCTATAGCAGCACAGCAGCATGAGCGAAGTTCTGGTGGTAGGTGCAAAGTGTGGCTACAACCAGGGATGCAGAGGCAGCATGGGAGGCGCGTAAAGCCTTGGTGTGACCTTGCTTAGTAACATCTACCTTCTAGACCCCACTTCCTTGCTTCAATTACCAGAGTCCCCACAAATCCTGTATCCCCCAGCCTAGGCTCCTGTAGACAGGGATGGAGTGCGGTGGCATGTATATGCAGTACAGCACTCAGGGCTGAGGCATGAAATCACAAATTTAAGGCCAGCCTGGGCTCAAAAAAACTGGAGGGGAAAGAAGGGGGGGGGGGGAAGAAGAGGATGTGGTGAGCTTCAAACCAAAGCTCAGTGCTGGGAATGGCCTGGAAGGAAGGTGGAACAAACAGCTTCCCAGAGATCGTGTGGCCTCACTTAACAGCGGGGGAAACTGAGGCTCAAAGAGGCCATGGCTTGCCCAAAGTCATTAGGAACACAACAGATATAGAGTGCCCAGTGGCTGGTCAATGGGAAGTACCAGTCGGACCCGCTCCTTCCTGCCTGGCATTAATGCAGAAGTAACCCTCGGCTACCTCAAATGCAGGTCTCCAGGACTGTCGGGAGCAGAGTGTCCCTCGGGTCTCTCCTCACCCAGAGTCAAGGCAGGTGGCAACAGGCCTGTTCAGGGCATAAGAAAGAACAGTGCTGTGCCCCTGGTGTGGCCTCCTCCCAAGAGACCTGATGAAGGGTGATGAAGAGAGACCCCCAGCCTGACCTCAGCAGAGTTTCCAGGCAGTGCACGTGTCCCTGCCCTGGTTATGGCTTCTTGGCTTCTGACTTAGCCCAGGACAGAGCTGCCTTCTTGGCTGGAGGTGAGACCTTTAAGAGCTTAAGAGCCTCCCAGGGACAGTGTGCTCTTTTCTGGGTAGAGCCTACTAAAGGAAAGGAGACCAGCCCCCGCTGGTGGTGTAGCCCCTCACAGTTTATAACGCCCTTGCAGATGGCTTCCCTTAGAAGGGCTGGCCAGTCCTCTAAAGTGGCAAGTCACTTGATGTATGGAGGCACCCGAGGAGGGAGGAGGTTACAGAAGAGCGCTTTCAGTCAAGACAAACCTGGCTGTACCTTCTGCTGCAGGGCCCACTCAGAAAACCACAAGGGACATGTTCATCCCAAAGGACGAAGTTCCTGGAGTCGCTTCCCCAAGCCCGAATCTGTAGCTGTCTAAGCGAAGAGTTCTCCCTCTTGTCTGTCCCTTTCCAGTTCCCTGGCTACTCACTGCTTCCACTGAGATTTACTGTGTCCCATCCACTGGGAAGCCACTGGTTAATCTGATAATATAATCCTGGATAAATAGTCCGGTAAACTCCTCCGACCTGGTTCCTGAGATGCTCCTTACTACGCTTACCTTTCCTCTACTTCCCACCCCCTGCCCTACACTTCTCCCTCCCTGCAAGGTATATTGCTTCTCTCTGCTCAAGAACCATCACTGGCTCCCTAGTTCCTTCAGAAGTCACCCCAGTCCCATTGACGTGCTTCAAGGCCTACTCCAGCTCTTCCCAGCATCCCTTGTGGCTTCAACTGCCAGAGTCCCCCTTTCCATATACTTTCTTATCGGTCAGAGATGTCCCTGCTGTTCCCTAAACACACTTTTACCTCCTGCCTCTGTCAGAGTTATCTTCTCTTATTTCTTCCAGCCAATTCCTCCTTGGCCCTCAAAGCCCTGACCCAAAGCTGTTTCCAGAAACTTCTCTCTTATCTGCTACTGAAATGGGACCTCTGCCAACCAGAAGCCCTTTTCTCCTGACCTTAATAAGGACTCTTCTGCATTGTGACTATCACCTGAACTGATAGGAAGGACCTGGCCTCCAGGGTCAGACAGCCTGGAGGTAAGCTTTGGGAACATGAGTGTGCATGGCTCCGAGGGCACCATGCTGGGAACTGAGGAAGTGTGGACTAGCAAAAGAGGAACTTGGGAGTCTTAGTTTTGGAAGTCAGGGCACTGGAGTTTAGCCTCTTCTAGGTAGCAACTCTTCTAGGAAGAATTCTGGACGGGGAGTCCCGAGTGGCAGGCTTGCTCTGTGTTCCAGAACTAATGTGCTATAGGGACTATCCAGCCCCAGCATGCACAGGGGTGGGAGTGAGAGTGGAGGCGCCGTGTTCCCTTCATGGCTGCTCGCTCGTACCTCCAGGGCCTCCGTGGCTTCCTCATCAAAAGGAGAACATTGACCTCAGAATCAAAGTCCCTCCCCTGGTGCCCTGACCTCAGCTCTCCTGACACCCATGGCAGGTAAAGTGCCGCAAAGATTGGCACAGTGACTTGGGACAAATATTTGTGGAACACTCTACTTCTACAATGCCAGGGCCATTCTAAAAGCCCTTGAGCTCAGAGGGCAGCCTCCTAGGAAGGTTCCCTCCTCTTCACCCTGCCTTGTGGGGCTGCAGCTGCCTCAGGCTACCTCTATTCTCTGAATGCCAGTAGCCTGGAGTGAAATCTAATCCCTTGCCTTTCTCCCCGCGGCCACTGGGATGATTCCAAGTGGCTGGGAACGCAGTGGGTGCACAGGGGGCAGGCTTGTTGTTATTAGTGCCTCCCTGGGTTATTTGTGAAGTCACAAGAGAAAATGAGAACTCAAGTCCATCCCTCTCCCTCCCTGGGCCCCACTTCCTCCTTGCTTCCGCAGTCCACCCTGGCTTTGTCAAGAGATACAAATCCTCTCCCAGCCTCACTTCCCCGCACCTGAACTCCCCTGATTAAGTCCTTTACCTTCCCCGGGGTATCACTGTTTAATCCCTAAGTCCTTTCTCACCAGTCTCCAGTAGTCTCAGGGAGAGTCAAATCCCTTTAGAATGAGGTGGCCCAGTTAGCTGCCAAGGGAGAGGCTGGGGGCAGGGAGCTGGGACCTCTGCACTACCTCAGAGGAGACTGGAGGATCGGAAGGGTCTCAAGGGCCTGACTTCAGTCCTGGCACTAGCTGGCAAGAGGCCAGAGACTTCCCTGAGGGGAGGTGGGCCACCACTTCTGCCCCTACCCTGCATCCAAGATGGAGGCCAGATCACCCCACACCCCCAGGTCTGTTCACTCTACACCAGGGACTTCGGAAACAGAATGGTGGCCCATCAACTCTGGAACCAGACCACCTGGTTGTGTCATCTAACAAAGAACAAAGTTAGCTGTCCCCATCCTCAGTGTCCTATTGAGAAAACGGCCTGACAATCTTACTACCTCGTCGGCTGGGATGAAGTAAAGAACTAGTTTCTGAAACGTGCCTAGAACCTGGAGAACGCGGCAGTTTCTGTCTGCTCGCACTTCCTGTTTCCTGCCCCAGACACTCTGTAGGCATCCACCCACACTCCTGGAGTGCCTTTCCTGCTCCTGTCTTGAGACTGAAGTGACCCCTGATCCCCATGCCAGTCTCATTCTGTTTATTCTCCTCGTGGCACTT